TCACAGCCTTCATGGGCTACCGCGGCTCACGAGCCACATGTGCTCTTTGGCCCCTTGAGTGTGGCTCTTCCACAAAATACTGACTTCTGCGCATGGGCCACGAAGTTTCAATCACACTGTATGTGCGCGGCCCGCACGTGGAATTTTGTGGAAGAGCCACACTCAAGGGGCCAAAGAGCCGCATGTGGCTTGCGAGCTGCGGTTTGCCGACCACGGCCTTAGGGGATGCGATCAGCCAGATTCAAACAGTAGGAGATGCTATGAACAACAAAAACCCAACAACAGCCGAAACCGGTTTGGCTCAGTGGATAGAGCGTCGGTCTGCAGACTGAGAGGTCCCGGGTTCGATTCCGGTCAAGGGCATGTACCTGGGTTGCGGGCACATCCCCAGTGGGAGATGTGCAGGAGGCAGCTGATTGATGTTTCTCTCTCATTGATGTTTCTAGCTCTCTATCTCTCTCCCTTCCTCTCTGTAAAAAATCAATAAAGTATATTTAAAAAACAAAACAAAAAAAACCCAACAACAACTTCAACAAACACTAGGAAACAAGTGAGAGGGAATTCAAGAGCTGGGAGGGTTCTACCATCTGCAAATGTGTCAAACTGGAAGAAAAAAAAAAACACAACTGGGAAAATGGGTCCAATATTTGTCAAAATTCCAAGTATTTATGATGAAATTATATAAGGTCTGGGATTTGTTTTGTAATAACTCAGCAACTGAGGTCAGTGATGGATGAAAGCAGCTGGCAGTTGACTTTGGAGCCAGACAATAGGTTCATTCATGGTCTTTGCTTCCCACTCAGGGATATTCAAAACTTTTTGATTAAAAAAGAAAAATATGTATCCCTGGCCAGTGTGGCTCAGTTGGTTGAGAGTTCTGTGCACTGAAAGCTCGCCAGGTCAACTCCCAGTCAGGCACATGCCCAACTTGTGGGTTCAGTCCCTGGTAGGGGTGTGTGCAGGAGGCAACAGATCAATGTTTCTCTCTCTCTTCCTCTCTCTCCATAATCAATTTAAGCCCAGCCGGCATGGCTCAGTGGTTGAGTGTCGACTTATGAACCAGGAGGTAATAGTTCAATTCTCAGTCAGGGCACATGCCTAGGTTGCAGGCTCAATCCTCAGTGTGGGGTGTGCAGGAGGCATTCGATCAATGATTCTCATCATTGATGATTCTGTATCTCCCTCTCCCTGTCTGAAATCAATAAAAGTATTTTAAATATATAAATGTTTTTAAAAATAAAAATATGTAGACTGGGGCACACCCCTGCTCTGCCCACAGCCCTCCAGGGCTCCCAGAAGTTTCATCTCAGAGGGAACTACTTTAGAAGCCCAGGGCCTCCTGCATCCATAGGCCCTGCACGACCTGCCCCCTCTGTTACCTCCCTGACCTCACCTCCCTCCCTCCCTCTGCTCCCTCTCTCTCCTCCTAGATGTTCCTCCAACACCCCAACAATACCAGGCAAGGTCCTGCCACAGGGCCTTTGCATGGGGGCTGTGCCCTCTCCTCTCTGACGTCCATATAAAAGTCCCTCATGTCACCCCTCCCAGAGGAATTTCTGACCTCCATTTGAGAAAATGTCCAAACATTCCTGTGTCCCTCCTCTGCCTTATTTTTGGCCCTGGCACTCACACACCATCTGTTTTGCTTGATTCTTGCCACGTCTCCACCGGGGATGGGGATCGTCACCTATTTTGTCCCAGCTGTGTTCCCAGTGCCTGGCACACCACAGGTGCTCAATAAATGTTTGCACGAGTAAATGCCACAGGTAGTTGGGTCTCAGGATGGGTAGTGTGTGAGTGGGCAACCTCCCAGCTCTGGCCACAGCCCCCACAGCCAGCCACCTTGGGGTCATGAATCCCTGACAGCTCCTCGAAAGTCTTGTCCCCGACCATGACGGCAGCCAGGTTGGCCGTGTAGCTAGACAGCACGAGCAGGCAGAAGATGGCCCACAGGTTCATGAGCAGACGCCCGGTGGGGCACTTGGGGGTTTTGCTGGATACTGTGCGTCCAAACAGGATGGCGTAGCAGAGGTTGAGGGCTGAGGAATAGGAGAAAACGGTGCCACGATTCCGGCCGCGGGGTGTGAGGCCATAGGGGCTGCACCACTCGTAGAGCGTGAGGAAGAGCGCGGTGAGGTGCAGGGCGGCAAAGACACCCAGCCACATAGACCAGTGCAGCGGCCACATAAAGGCCCCAAGAGGTGAGGCCGTGTCTCTCGCCCGCACCATGATGCCCAGGCTGGTGGAGAAGAAGGGGCTGCTGAAATCTACCACCTTCAAGCGGGCTGAGTTGATGCTAAAGCTGGTGACTGCCATGTGGGCCCTGCCAGCTAGCAGGTCACCCACCAGGCCAGTCCAGCGGCCATCCCGCAGGGCACCGTACTTGCCATCGCCCACAATGTATAGCTCAAAGTCAAAGGGTGTGTCCTCTGCCAGGCGCTCCAGCAGGTCAATGCAGTAGCCATAGCAACACTTGCGCAGAGCATGGGACACCGAGCCGTTGGCCAGGGCAGCAAACAGCGCGTCCAGGGTGGCAGAGTCGTTGGTGCCAGGGTCCAGGCACAGCTGTCCTGCTGGGCACTGCCCATCCTCATCTGGTTCTCGGGCAAACACAAACGGATGCTCCACCAGGGTCACCACACGCAGCTTAGGCCGGACCTGGGCACCCAGCGGGGACGGGGGCTGCACAGCAGCACCCCCTGGCTCCAACTCCAGCCTCCCATCCTGCCAGCTGCCCAGTGTGGCCCAGGCTGGGGTGCCCAGCGGGTCCTGGCGCAGGCTCCACACCTGGAAGTGCCGGGACATGTACACCTGGGAGGAGCTGGTCACCCACACTGGCCCCGTGTGGCCCTGGAAGGATGTGTTGCTCAGGAACCTGGCAGAAGGTGGGAGGCAGACAGACATCAAGTAGTGGGAGCCCCCCCAGCAAAGCTCAGACCCTCTCAGCACAGACCAGGGACCACTGTGGATGCAGTTGCGTCCCCCCACACCAGGTCTCTACCAGCAGGGGCGTGAAGTCAACGCTGACCATCCAGTTTGAATGCCCAGGTAGTGCCCCCTGGCTCTGGGGAGCTGTCCACTCTCCAGACCTCCCCTGGGATCAGGCAGAGACACATGCCCGCTGCCCTCTCCCACTTCTCCCACAGTGCCAAGCATGCCCTTCACCAGAATTCCTCTCTCAGGCCTGTTTCCACCAAGACAGGGACAAAGCCACCCTCTCATGAGGCCACAGTGCCTGGCATATAGCAAGTGCCCAATAACGTTGCCCCAGACAGAGGCAGCTCCATGTGGAGGCTGCACCCCTTCCTACAGCAGGGTCCCCACTCACTGTGCCAAGAAGTGGCCTGAGGACTGGAGTTGGGGTGGCTTCAGGTCATTGCAGTTGGTGGTGGCGGGGAGAAGGATACGCTCTGGCTGCACACGGGCCGCGCTGCCCAGCGCCCGTGCTATCAGCTCCACCGCGTCGTGGATAGTGGCCTCCAGTGAGGGTCGGGCCACCTCACCCAGTGCCAGCAGCCCAGGTGGCAGGCCCTCAGTGGGCAGTGCCTCTGCAGGCAGCGGCGTGCCTAGCACCCAGCGGGGCCCGGGAGGGGCAGCCTCCAGCACCTGACGGGCACGGGCCATGTCACAGCCAAGGAGCACGGCCACAGGTACTAGGGCTGAGCCCCCCTCCAGCGCCCCCAGCGAAGAAAGGCGGGCCTGCAACCCTGCATCACCGGTGTCCGGTCGGCTCACGTCCAGCACAAGCTTTGGGGCCCTGCCAGCCCGGCTTGTCCAGAGGGCCACCAGGCCACCAGGGTCCCGCGTGCGGCAGAGCACCAGGCCAACGTCCTCCCAGGCATGGGCCTGCAGCACGGACACCAGCACCTCCAGCAGCGTCTCCAGGGGGCTGGCCCAGTCCAACTGTAGGTGAAACGGGTTCTGGGAAGGGGGGTGGTCACAGTTAGGGCTGGTGACCACCATGTCCTTCCCACCCCCGCCAATAGGTGTCCAATAAACAGAGGCCATCTTGGTAACTAGACCTCATGCCTGTCTCCTCCCAGCCTACCTCTGCTCTAAACCCTTCTGTGTTCCCCACAGCCAGCAGCACTAAGCCCAGCCTCCCTGGCCTGACATTTAGGGCCTTCTGTTGTGTCTCTGGCCACCCTGGTAGCATCCCACTTGGAGGATTTTTGCATGTGCCATTCCCAATCTGGAATACTTTTCTCTCTCTACGTCAGTCAACTCCTATACATTCTTCAAAACTCAGCCCCACTGCCCCCTCCTCTATTTAGACATTCCCATCCACCTTAGAACTCTGGCTCCCCTCTGGACTCTCGCAACCTCAAATCCTTCATTCACCACAGTCCTGACCTCTCCCACCCCTCCGGTCTGGGAACCCCTCAAGAGTCCAGGACTAAGGCTCCATGATCATCAACTGGCTGATGACTTCATGCTGGGAGCCAAGCCAGAGTGCTTCCTCTTAGGACTCCTACACATCACTGCCCCTGAGCCAGGCAAACCAGGGGCTAAGGGGTCCTTTGTGCCCAATAGCACACAGAAAGTTCTCCTAGATTTGATCAGCCTGTGAAAGAGGGGAGAGCTTTGAGAGACACCTATGGTGGGCAGGATGCTGCCTGCATGAGGACAGGGCACCCAGTGCTGGGGGACAGGCTGGGCACCGCTGCTCAGTCAGTCCCCAGAAAAACCCGACAGTTCCAACTGCAGGGGCGCAGTTCTTAGAGGCGGCAGAAGAGGGCGTCCTGCATCTTCCATGGGGAGGAGGCAGGGGTAGGAAAACGGGCCTCAGCAGTGACAGCGGGGTTAGTGAAACTCCAGGCCTCTTCCAGGGTCGGGGTCTCCCCTCCCAGAGGAGGGGCTTTATGGTGGTTTGGGGGGGAGGGCGGCTCCCACCAGATCCACGTCCCTCTCTGCTGGGCCTAGGAGGTGTATATGGGGGGTCTTTTCCTGGGGCACAACAGGGTCCCCAGAGCCCTGCCTGTCACCCTTCTCTCCTCATCTCATTTTTTAAAAACTCCATCCCAGATCTGGGCCTGTGGTGGGGATGGGGGTGTGTCTAGAAAATAAACTCCAAAAAGGTGGAGAGTGTGAAAAGGAGGATGGAGGGAGGGCTTTGGAGTGAGAGTGGCCTGAGGACCCAAGAAGGGCACCCCACCCCCAGAGAGCAAAGAGGGAGGCCCTTCCCAGATCTGTGGTCCCGCCTGGTGGGAACCTAGAGCTGCCCTTGGCCCTGGAAGTGGCCGCTCTCAGGGAGCGGGATGGGTCCTGGGGCCGAGAGGGTGGGTGGCTGCAGTGGCGGGGCTCCACCACCAAGGCTCAGGCAAAGGGTCTGCACCCGAGTTCCGTGCCCCAAAGGGGGCATCCTGAGGGTCTGTATTCCGGGGTCCAGAGAAGTCCCGAAGGGTCCCGGAACCGTGGACCAGGGGAGCCCCTGGACTCCTGCCTCTGGTTACCATGCTCTGGGAGCACCGGGGGTCCAGGGGCCCAGGTCCCGCGAACTCAGCGACGGTGTCATCGGACTCCTAAGCATCCCGAGGCCCCTGCATTTGCGGTCCAGAAGTCCATCCGTCCCGCGGGTCCCAGGGTCCCCGCACCCCAGGATCTCCCGGGGCCTCCCTGATCCGCATCCCAGACCCCCGAGTCCTGACTTTCAGCGTCGTGCGACCGGGGCGCCGAGGGGTGCGCGTGGGGGCCGCCGTAGCAGGCTGAGCACGGGGGTGTCGGTTTCGGCCGCCAGGAAGTGCAGCTGCAGCAGCTCCGGCCGCGCCTCGGGGAAGGCGAGTACGGCTACCACGCCCGGCGCCCCAGCGTCTGGCACAGGCCGAGGGCAAGCGAGGCGGGGTCGCGTGCGGGGGTCGCGGCGTCCACCAGTTCCAAGCTCAGGTTGTGCGGTAGCCGATGCTCCAGGACGGCCCGGGCCAGGGCGGTGCGGGCGCGGGCTCGGGCGGCGGGTGCGCGGGGCAGGAGGGCGCCCAGGCGCACGGAGCCCCCCAGGCGCGCCAGGACGCCGCACGGTTGCGGGTGGCCCCCGGCGGGCACGGGTCCCAGCGCCAACGCCAGGCCCAGCCACAGCGCCCGCACAAACTCCATCCCGAAGTTACCGGCCGGTGTTGTGGGGAACCGGTGCTGTGGGGACTGAACGGCTGGTGCCACGCGCAGGAGGCAGGATCCCAGCCGGCCCAGGCTCACATCCTTTCTGCGTCTGTACTCTTTTTTTGGTGATGACGAAAGGTTCTCTCAGAGATCCTGTTATTTTTTTTTTTTGATATAGATT